CTCCTCACTTTTCTGGTATCGAATTATTTTGTTATCAAAAGAATTGCGAAGTGGATTTCTTTTACATTTTTGCAAATGACCTTCAGAGGTCGGTTCGACCAACAGGTCGAAGCGTATTCGGACGTAAAATTTTCCGGTCTTTCAGAATCCGGAATCAAAAAAATTGTATCATTCGAGTTAATGTATTTGACCTTCAAGTAACCTTGATCTAGACGTGATGGGGTCATATGAACACTAGGATCGTGATCGGCGACTCCAAAAACATAGGTCACCTAGTCTGAGAAAAAAGGCATTTCGATTTCTGTTTGTAGGCCTGTGTTATTAAAAAGATAAAAAAAAGGAATGTAATGATAACGATGCTGCTACTGTTGTAGTTACGGACTATGTATAAGACAATCCAAAGATGCCACTTAGGAAAAGATCAGAAAACATAGATATTGGCATATTCAAAGAATTTTAGTATACAACAAAAATCTATCCATTCAATCCAGTGTTTAATCATAAATCGCTTGATTTTATTTTCAATTTTGATTTTAAATAAGTTATTTCTACTTGGCTCGAGTAGAAAACTGTAAATAAGACATTTTAGTGCGAACTAGAATTATATCAAAGATACGTATGACGTGATGCGCAATAAGTGTATTTTGATAGCCACCTGTTAATCTGCATTAATCACATAAGGAAACTGTTATTTTGTTAATTCCAGAGGGGTGTTACGTTAAGGAGGTATGTATTTATTTGATTTAATGGATATTTTTTTGCTGCCTAAATATAACCACAAAATTTGATTTGCTAAACACTTGCCCCATCATAAATACCCATTAGGGCAAGTGTGTAGTAAATACTTAGGCTAACTGTGTGTAGTACTACACACTTGCCCGTGTTTTTAAAAAACTTCTTTTATTTTATTTTTAGACAATGGTGCGCACTTATAGAAGAATATCTAATAGAAAAAGTACATCTACAGTGAAGCAGAGTGATGCACCCGACAAGGTAAGGAAGAGAAAAATACAATGTGTCAAAAAAGAAACAAAAAACTGACAAGACCCCTAGCGAAAATCTGAATCTAGATTTTAATGAAGACGAAGGAGAGGAGGAGGAGAACATTAGATTTATCGACAGTGATGATGATATAGAAGAAGAAAGGAGGGATGTGGAAGCATTGGATAAATGTATGACAGAAATCAATAAGCCTGCAAAAGAGTTAGTCAAAGAGGATTGGGTGTTGGCCTTACGACGATGAAAACAAAGAAATATTATGTTGGTCAGGTCATAACTGTCAATAATGTCGAGAAAGAATTGGAAATAAAATTTACCAAAAGGGTACTCTCCTTAGACCCTTTATCTACTTCAATTTTTTCTTGGACTGAAAAGTGTAATATTGTTGCCATAGACGATGTCGTGCTTTGCCTTCCGACACCCACTGTAACTTGTCGAAGGGGTTTGTTGAAGTTTGATGTGAATTTTTCAGGATAAGATGTTCAGTAAATTGTTTAAAACAAAGCCATTTTTATTTATTTCGATACAAATAAAGTTCCTATACATCCAAAGAAGTTTTGTTAAGTTTTACGTTTTTATAAGAATTTTGTGTTCTTTTTTTACGACATTAAACCGTCTGATACTTAAATTTTTGTTTTAATAAAAAAAGAACTATTTATATCATAAAATATAAACTATGGAATGAAGCTTCACACACTAGCCCCTTATTCATATTATCCTAAAAAGATAGAAACTACAGACCGAATACACACTTGCCCCAAAATCTAGGGAAAGTGTGTAGTACAGACCATGTTTTAAAAAAAATGTCATAGAAAGAAACATGGTCATCTTTCAAGGTCGTCATTATTACTGAATATTAAGTGAAGTCTATAGAAGACACAGTAATTTAAACAGGTCGCCTTCATTAAGAGTTTTAATTTTGACAAAATTTTAAGTTGAATTAAAGGTTTTTTGCTAAACACTTACCCCACTTCACCTTATGTTATTTTTAAAAATCCTTACAGTTTTCCCCACTCTTATAATAGACGAATTACACATTATTTATTTTTACATACATACATTGGGACTGACTGACCAGCTCTGTCCCTACATTTAGCTGACTGACTAATAGAACTTTTATTTATATGCGATATAGAATTTGTATAATGCTTAACGTTAGTAAATTCATTTAATTACTCGGTAGGTATGACAACCCCTGTTCTAAGTTTCGCTTGACTGACCGCAGTATGTTTGTGTACACAATTACTGCAATCAATTATCAAAAAACTAGGCTTAGTAAATTCAAACAATTTTTTTGCCGCTGGCTCTTGGACTATAATACATACAGTGACTACCCGTCACTCAAAGTGAAGAAGTCAAGATGGTCTTGAAAAATGTTTCAATTTCTTACACAATCCCATTTTACTTTAAAAAATCTAACAACTTCAAATTAATGTTTGTATTGTTCAAAGTGATCTATACTAACTCTCAACAATAAGCTATTCAGAACACACTAATTTGTGAATAAATTAAATCACTTTCACGGTCGATAACTATACAGAACTAAAAAGATTTGTAAATTAATATTAATATGTAACTTCCTTTCACTTTAATTTCATCTGATTTGTTATAATACTTAACAATATTGTAATCTGTTTAGTCGAACCTACGAAGTACCTTTTAATTAAATGCTGGTCGGTATATATAGCTACAGTAACTAGTTCCCACGTAAACAGCTAAAACTAATGTGAAAGTTTAGTGCACTAAAATTATTAATCGGTATACCTACCTTGTGGCAGAGAAATAGAAATACAAGTAATTTGTAGGGGATGTTGAAACCTCGATAATATGAACAGTGGTCCACTATGCAAACGTACTACACAAATATCTTGACATGATAAACTTAGTAGCAGCTTGGAGATTTGCCAATCTGTTGATGGCTGTGATTTAATTTGTCAATTTCAAATTATTGTGATAATCATAATATAATCAGAATTTCTTCCCAAAATATTTGCATTGTAACAAAGATTTTATTTAATTTTGACAGTAATTTATATAAGAATAGTTATTGAGATTTACAAACTAATTCAAGAAGTTTTAAGGAAAATATTATTTCAGTACCTGTCCCGCAATTTCAATCCCAGAATCATGCTGACGATAAACCTTGAGATATGTGTGTATGGAGGCCAGAATAATTGCAACAAGTGCGAAAAAAAATTGCAGACAGACAAGCAATTTCTCAGATTTTACCGGTATAACTAAAAATACCGGTAAGGAACTATCATATAGCTTTAGCACGATCAGGAAGTTAACAACTGAGTTATTCAAGTATCGACGTATCCCTGAAGTGGAAGACTCGCTAGGAATCGAGAGTGCTGCCTTGAATTTCATTAGACCAGAGCAATATCTTGATATAGTTTTGGTTTTGCCAAAACTGCCCCTTGTGGCCTGATCTAAGATGTTGAATGTAGGTTACTGATTGTGTGTAGAGAGTAAGGAAAAGGCAAAACACAGATTATTTACCTGTCTCGCAGGGGAACGGCACAGGTTGTCCTTGTTATTAGTGAACTACAATAGACCACAAGGTCGCACTCGCCCACTCGCAAGGAACCTAACCTAATATCTGTTCTGGTTTAATTAAGCATTCCTACTTTTCGGTTCCAAATTCCATGCTCGTTACGATTTTTATGGTATACAGATAAACTTTTTCTTATCAGTATTAAAGCATATTTTATGTGTTTATTAATAGACACTACTGATAATAATTTATAATAGAACTTTTACGATCGCCACGGAGAAATATGAAATAAGGTAATGTCGAACGTTTAAGCTAATTTAAACACGAGTAAAGATATGCCTTTATGTCATCAATTTTCAAATAACCACTTTATGAAAAATAAAAGATACTTTCAACTACGTAATATTGTTCTCTCCTTATTTGTTTTACTTTGTATGTAATTAGAAAAAAATAGACTAATATGTAAGGAGCTGCTCTATATATTTTTGCATACCTGAACAGATGATTTTCTTGAAAGTAACTATATTAAAAATATATCTAAAGACGCTTGAAGTAGAATGACTAAATTAATTAAATGTAAACAGTTACTGAATGCCTAAATTTACAAATACGTCAATCAGTAGCGGAGTTACTGGCTTATCACTACCCATAATTTCATTGCCTTCAAGTATTTAGGAATCTTAATCAGCTCTTATAACTTCTAGAAGTGTTTTTAAGAAAACAAACGTTAACGTTATCGAGACGAGAAATTGCAAACAATTATAAAATTAGGTACTCGTTTTCGAACAAAAATTTTATAATACGATTATAAATTGAAAAGGATATTTTGCTTTTTTTGAAGCTATGCTATCTCTTAATAGATTATATTGAATGTACCCTTTTTTATTTTCAATATACATATAACATTTACAATTCAGCAGATTTACATATATCTAACTCCGCTTGTTTTTCTAGATACAGTATCTTGTTTCTTTACTTAAAAGTAATACAGTGGCAAAGAGGTACGTAAATCCTCGCAAAGTATGTTTCTAATTAATTAAGTGTTACGGACCATACTGTCGTCTATTTACATTTCCCATACCTCTATTTTGAGTAAGACCGACATTTATGTGAAATTTCTTGTAACAAGCAGCCATATTATTTTAAATAAGAATTTTGGTGTGACAACATGCAGAAAACGAAAAAACTGTTTTTTTTTCTCTTGGTATAATGATTAATATACTTAAATTTACCTTTTCATTATTTAATACTGTATTAATTAAAAATTCATAGTATTATTAAAATATTGTACCATTTCCATTGTTGCGTTGAATATTAAACGAGAGTTTGTTTACACGACTGTATTTAAAAACACTTTCTAGGTATCTATGTTTGTAACAAAATATATAATTATATTGAAAATGCCCTACCTATAACTACGTCTATGTTTAAATTTTGTTTTACATTCAGTAAGTGATAGCATTACATGTTTATGTAGTATTTGTTCGACTGCGCACTACACACTTTCACATAAGTTAAATATTTCGTCAAATGCCGTTATACATATACGCCGGAATATTAACAATGTTTTTAATTCTAGAAAGAAAAATATAATCAAATGGAGGTAGATGCCAGTTATAACATAGGATGAGCCCGGTTAAGGTAGAGTCACGGAGAGGATGCGTCCGTCCACCGCATTTCGATATTCTGTGAGTATAACCCTTATTTATTTAACTAGATAATTAGTTAATTAAGTCAGAAAAAAATTTAGGGGCGTATTTATGAGATCAAAATTAGACTTTTTTTCCTATAAATGTTGGTCCACAAAAGCTTACAGGTAGTTTTAGATATACAGGGTGTTAAAGTTTTCTCGATTTTTTAGGAATAATTTCCAAACACATTTAAATGTTGGCATACAACTTGAGGTGTGGGGTTTTTTAGAATGCTAAATTATACTTGGTCATCTCCTAAATTCTTTATATTGAATTTTGAATCAGCCTGTAGGTACCTATATAAGAATATAATTATTCCGATCACCAAATTGGATAACTATATGGTGTATTTTTCAAAACAATTAAAATAAACATATGTGGTCCATTTTGAGTAGATTGCAGGATACAGGCTCAAATAAAATATGCACTAATTCTAAGTTTAGTGGTGCAAACAAAACCTGGCTAATTTTTGATATACAGAAAATATCATATTTGGCTTATTTCTATTAGTCTCTACGGGTGACCCGAAATTAGGGGGCAATATTTCTACAGGGTGTTCTATGTCGAAAAAGAAGAAACGTGGGCCCAAAAATTCTTCCTAAGAAATTTATAGCCACTTAAAGGGGCCACTTTGATGATGGTTTTTTCTAAATAACTCCGAAATAAGTTGAAATAAATTTATGAAATTTGGTAACTAGCTTAACTCGTGCGTGCTCAGTCCGCTACTAAAATGAAATTTACAAGTTTTTATCACATACTGGAGGAGGGAGGTAAAACTTACCATAACTTATTTATGCTTTAACTATTTTGACGTTTGACTGAAAAGTATGAAATTTCAGAGATTTTTAGTAAAATAAGGTACTCTTGGTCCATATTGTTAGAATGTTCCATTTTTGTGTAAAATCCATTTAAAAATAATGTTACATGTGTTAATCACCGAGAATCGAAATTGTCAATATTTTCTATCGTAGCGGTGCCATTTGTATTCACAGCTCAGTTATTAACTTTTTGCAAATTGTTATTTTCACAGAAATTTATTATTTTCAATAAATTATTGAAACTATTAAATAGTAATACAATAAACTAACAAATATAATTGAAACCCTACCCCACAGAAAGTAATCTAGACATTATGGGTAAAGTGAAGTAGTGCCCCATCCTGTTGATAGTGTAATGTTAAGCGTACGTTTAATGGTGTATCATCCAATAGTTCTCTTACATCATTTTGTAGAAAGTTTAAGTATCCTTCTGCATTCAGACAAACGGGAAACTGAATTGGTCCAAGTAGCTGGTCCCCTAAAATTTCTGCCCATACATTTATTGCAAATCCATTTTGAAAAATTGTGCGCCGTATTGCCCCTGGATTTTCGTTTGACCAGAAATGGGTATTATGAATATCTGCTAGCTCTACATTCGTAAAATATGGCATTTTCGATTGATAATAATTCGCAAAAAGTAAATAACTGAACTGTCAGTGCAAATGACGCCAAACGCATTTGTGTTATTCAAAACCTGCGACGATAAAAAATATTGACAATTTCTATTCTTAGTGATTAACACATGTAACATTATTTTTAAATGGATTTTACACAAAAATCCATCAATCTGAACCAAGAGTACTTTTTTTACTAAAAAATTTCATACTTTTCAGTCAAAAGTAAAAAAAGTCAAAGCATAAAAAAGTTATGGTAAATTTTACCCCTCTCAATGTTAGAACGTATGTGATGAAAATTTGTAAATTTCATTTTAGTAGCGGATTATAAGATTAAAATTGTTACTTTTACAAAAGTAAAAAAAGTCATAGCATAAAAAAGTTATGGTAAATTTTATCCCCCTCAATCTTAGAACGTATGTGATGAAAATTTGTAAATTTCATTTTAGTAGCGGATTATAAGATTAAAATTGTTACTTTTAGCCGATATATTAGGAAAGGTCTTGTGTCCCAGCTCGAACTTCATGATATTCCTGGTATTTTCTGAAAAAATTCGAAACTTGGGTGAAATTTTGGCGCCTAGCGAGGGTCATCAATAGTCGTTCTGCCATAGCATCGGGCTCTCCAGGTATCGTATAGTATGGCTCGGAGTGGTTGATGCTATTTGCAGCTCTGTGGATGGTTCCAGTGATTGAATTCGAAATATGGATGATCGTTTTTATTTGAAATATAGGTGACAATTTCTATTTCCACTTTCTACTTCACAGCGATAGTCAGATAGATGCCCTCCGACATTGGCAACTGCTTTAGGCTTGATTTTTCACTTTGTAGGAACTTTGTAAACGGCTTCGTAAATCAAATTCGAAAGTTGATTGATATCCAAGATAATATTTGGTACTCATTGACAGGGTGTTTGGAAAAGTTGGTCCAAAATTTAAGGAGGTGAAAATGGAGCCAGATATATTTAAAAAAGTTCCTATAACATTGGTCCTCCGGATCAGCATTACTGAGATATGGCCCTCCAAAGGGGTCCTATTATTTGGATATTTTTTTTAAATAACTTTCTTTCTGATTAAGATAATGGAATGAAAATTATAGGTAATAATGATACCATAAGGATTTTTAACTATCATATAATAATAATTTTTTAAATATGTATGTATGTATTTTTTAAATAAATTTTTATTTTGAACATTAAGTTATAATTTTGAATCATAAAATGCACAAAAAAACGCAGAAAATCTTAATTCTGAGTGCGAAGCAATGACTCAAATTGTTCACCCTGGGCCGAAATACAGGCACTTAATCTTATAGGAAGTTGAAACGAACACGCTGAGAAATTTCATGTTGAATTCGTATGGCACCGAAAGCTTCACCAATATGTTGCCGCAACTTTTCAATGGTAGTCACAGGCATAGCATATAGCATTTTTACGTCGCCTAATAAATTATCCGCATTTAGATCCGGCCAACGAGGTGGCCATGGTATAGGCGCGTCATTTCCACAATCAATCCATTTTCCCGTGAATGATTGATTTAAAAAATCCCGCACTTGCTGAGCATAATGTGAAGCAGCTCCATCTTGTAAAAAAACATGTTTGTCGTAGTTCAAGAGGAATATCGTCTAGCATCACGCAAAAAAATGAATTTGGATTAAATGAGCATATAGTTTTAAATGAAATTATTTGCCGCAAATATTATTTCCGTGAAACTATGTGAAATATTTGCTGTAATCTATAATTTTTCTTAGAATTTATATTATCTGTAAATACAGGGCGTTCAACCTAAGAGGGATTCTTCTGTAACTCTGTAACTGATAAATAAATTGATAAAAAAATGGTTTTAATAAAAGTTGCCTGGAATCATGTGAGGCATGTCAAGAAAATATTTTTAGCTTTCCAGGGTATTCCATTTCGCGTGGGCGCTACATAATTTTGTTATTTTAAATGGGACATCCTGTATATTATTGTATTTTTAATTGCTCGGTTAATATTAGGTAGAGTTTTTTAAATGTACATGGTGTTTAAAACTTATCGTTTTTAAGATTTTCATTTTTTGAAAAAAATCACGATTTCAGCTCTCTAAGTGAGGCTAGATAGTATCTAAACCATAAGAGATAGAAACCTGCAGTTTTCACAATTCATTTTGGCATAAATTACTCTATCATGTCATCCGTGAATTCAAAATTGAATGGCCTTTCGACTGATATAAGGTTGTCCATACTTATCTCTTACAATTTTATAGAAACATCAGGTTTTTTTCTAAAGTTCGAAAAAGTACCTATGTAACAGCGTCAAGAAGGTCTTGTAAAACCACTTTTCCCTCACAAGTGTCCTCCATTTTGATTGATACAGAAACGAATTCGGTTTTTAAAAGACTGTTCAACATGGTCAGCATGTCTGGCGTAATTTCCAGAAGATCCCAGAAGGTGATTGCCAACAATGCGACCCGAAACATTCACTGAAAATACCCGTTGATGACGAGTTTCAACAGTGCCATGAGGATTTTCATCACACCACGTATGAGGATTGTGCAAATTGATAACGCCATCCCGTGTAAAGCTATGGTTTGTTAGAGCTGTAGGCGACGCAAAGCAGTCAGTTGTGCGCGTCGAACTTACATTGGAATCTAGAACACAAGAAGATGCGTAGCCGGTTTGTTAGATTCTGCTCATGTGGACTCATGGTAGGCAGAAAATTATGTGCGTCGTCGGTTCAGTCGAAATCAAATTTGATTTGATTTCAACGCAGTCGTTCAGTTGAGCTCACAGCGTACTGCTTTTATTTTTAAGGAATTTTAAAATGGCAACCAAGTTTTTACCAAAGGAAGACGAAACATTACTGGATCCCGTACGAGAACATCTCCCATTGTATATGTATACCATCCCTTCAAACATCTGTTAGAAAACATTCGACTTCACCTTTATTTTGACGACGACAACTAATTAAATTCAAAAGAAGATCCTCTTCATGTTCTTCTTCCTGAATAAGTATTGGCAGCAAAAAATGTTCAGCCATTATCATGATAAAAATAAATTTTGCCAAAATAATAATAAATATTTTCGTCTGCATTTACCAGCATACAATCACAAGCACTAAATCTAACAAAACACCCCCCTTCAAAACAGATAAAGTTGAACGCTACAGATTCTGCTAACCGTGTATGTCGTCTGCGACGCATAGTTCTAACAAACCAAAGCTTTAAGGTGGCCATATTCCCGGCCGAGAAATAGAAAAATTTATGGCGTTTTTAAGTACTGAAATCTTGAAAAGTAAAACGTGTAGAACAAAAGTAAGCACAAAAATGAAATCCTTGACGTTTTGTTTATTCATTGTTACCATTTAAATTTACTCAAATAAAATAATAACTAAAAAAAAAGCGTTTGTAAAACAGGCGTTTGCTGTTATTCTAACCCCACATTTTAAGAATTATTTTCACGTACTTATAAATAAAAGTAAACAATTTTATATGTAGGACTAAGCAAGTAAATGTTATAAGAATATTTATATGTGGAATTATATATAAAAAAGTTAGTATTTTCGTAGATTTCAGTACCTAAAACCTTGATGGTTTGTTCGTTTTTTGCACCTGTTTAATCGTTTTACTGCGGCGTCTTTGAAAATACCCAGATGGCATGACATAACATTCCTATTATTTGATAAGCTTTAGATTATTCAGTTATTAAATGTTTGAAATTATTTGTCTTTGCGGAAAATACTATTTAAAGAATATGGGGCCCTTAAGCAAGCTTCATCGGTAAATAAAAGATTTGAAATGAATGCGTAATAATTATCTTGTTGGCGACCAAGAATTGTGCTACAAAAACGAAAGCGGGCGGCATGATCTTCTTGAAGTATACCATAAAACCTTTGAAAATGGTAACAGTATAATCCATGTTCCTTAAAGAACTGCCATACACAAGTATTGTTTGTTTTAAAACGAGCAGACGCTCTTCTTACACAAGCAGTAGGATTACGTTCAATCCATACATCGCTCTTGCATGAATTTTCCCAAACAGTCTTGCAGAAGATTGCCTTCTATCAGGGAAACGTTGCCGATACTCTCTTTGAGCCGCCAGACTATTTCCATTACAGGAATCATAAATAAAATGCATATCGGCATATTCACGAATTTAGTAAAAGCATGATAGTTCATGGTTGTAAAAAATCGAATAAAATACAAAGTCAAGCACGAAGATTACAACTAAGAAAATAAAGAAACGTAAGAATTTTTTAAATGCTAGCACGCGAAAGTGACAATCATTAGTATCATTACAATGAAACTGAACATAAAATAATTATTTCTGACTAAATTACGCAGAATTCGAAAAAAGTACAGACATTTTTTCTTCAAAAAAGTCTAATTTATTAAAAAATAATATTATTTGCTTGATAATTCAAAGGAATAAAAAAAATCGAAAAATTTCTGTTAAGGGTAGTTAGAAACTATTCTTATTTATAACCGATTTTGATAAAACTTACGTTAGTTAAAGACTTATGGTATGATTATTACCTACAATTTTCATTCCATTATCTTAATCAGAAAGAAAATTATTTTAAAAAATATCCAAATCATAAGACCCTTTTGGAGGGCCATATCTCAGTAACGGTGCTCCGAAGGACCAATGTTTATAGGAACGTTTTTACTATTTTTAGCTCTACTTTCCACCACCTTAAAATTTGTACAAACTTTTCCAACACTGTATCTGTAGGATAGACCAAACTAATCCAGAAATAATCAATAAATACGTATTAGTTTAACAATGAAATATTGCAATTTTAGAAAAGATAAAATGACAGAAGAGTTAGTTTTTAGTCAATTGTCTACAAAGAAATGTTAGTGTGAATTACAATTAAAAAGAAAGATACACACTTTAGCAAGTAGATTTTTATTCCTCTATGTCTCCTCCCTGCACAACTATGCTGTGCCAAATTCACACTGCTTTTGATGTGCAGTCTGTCATAAGCATGCACGGATAGGAGAGCATAATTCCAATTCGTTTGACACAGCATCTCACAAAACAGCTCTCTCGTAGTATGGTATTTCTTTCTCTTTTCCGCGATGTAATCAGTTTTTAGTTGCGATTATTAGTTTTTGAAGAGGCACGTTTACACAAATTTATTAGTTATAGGGTTGACCAACCTACTTCTGTAAAAAAGTCAGTGTCTTCTAAGATATATACTTTGAAACCATGTACCATAAAGTTAAATTCACAGAACCACATAGTAAAAGTTAAAATATTTGATGTGAATGATTTCCATTGGATTACATTGCATACGGCCAACAGACTTTCTTAGTGTATTTTTGAAAATGTGTTTACTTAATATTGTCTCATTTGATATTAAACTGTCTTTTATAACCAATCAAATATTTCAAGGAAAATTTATTCTTTTTAGATGGTTGCCAAGGGCAGCGATGAGGTCGGTGGAAGGCGACCCGTCAGACTGTGTCCTGGTGGTTGGAGTATCTCGGCCAAGGATGGCGCTGGCTATTATGACTGTCATGCTTGTTTCACTTTTCCTAACTTTCCATATGATCTACGACAGCGCCCTTAACACTCTCCAACCAAATAGCCTCGACCATACCAGACCACCGATACTCCTTCTCTCTAGAAAACTCTACCCAACAGCAGCCAGAAGGCTACCACAGGTAAGTGTTAATATAATTAGATAAATTCAATTTCAACTTTAAATTATTAATTAGTACTAGTAAAGGTTACCTACATAATTTGAGCCAAATATATCCGCTATTTGATTACATGCCTAAAATAAGTTTGAATATAAAAACTTTTATTCAATACTTACAATAACCAAAATTGCGTTATTATAATTTTGTTTTCTTAAAAAATTACGGGCTTTCAGACATAATCAATAACTTTAGATCCACACTTTTTATTATAGTTCAATTACTTTTTATATACTTATAGGGGAAAATTTTTAGGGTAGCCAGTGGTGACTGATCATAAGATTGCCAACGGCAGGTAACGTAATAAAAGATTTTAGATTTGTTTGTAGGCTTCCGTGGCTGTCGTTAATGATTGAATGATTTCCGGGCTGGTTGCCACGTCGTCGATTTACAACTCTTGACGTTTGAAGAGACATATCGCTCTCTTCTTCAGAAGTTACTCTGAAACTTGAGGACTACTACTCTTGTCACTATTTATATTTGATGTGGTCACTGATCTATGATGTTCCGGTGGGTGACCAGCTGCAGGTCCCTATTGTCTACAGTACTCCTTGCTCTTGCGGGAAGGTCTACATAGGACAAACAGCAGGTGCATCAACACGAGGTTAAAAGAACACAAAAGTCACTTCAAAAATAACAACTGGGAAAAATCGGCAATAGCAGAGCATAGAACGGACACGGGTCACACAGTGGATCTGAGTAAAGTGGGCAATGGGCAAAGTTGAGGAGAACAGAAACTTAATTACGTGTTATATATAGATGAGTGTACTTTTTCCAACTTTACTAAATCCAATCGTCGTAATTACCACTACTACGATAACCAGGATCGCCATTTAATTTTTTTATAGATAAACAGCATCGCTTTTCCGTCAATGTTTGGGCAATACTTAATCGGTCTTCATATTTTCAACGGAATCCTAACAGGTGAGATGTATCTCCATTTCCTCCAGACAGAATTTGAAGACTTATTGGAGAATATTCCTCTGTGTGTCATCAGGCGTCTGTGGTTCATGCAAGACGGACCACCACCTCATTTTAATGTTCATGTACGTCGATATTTGGATAATACATTTCCCAGAAGATGGATTGGACGAAGCGGTACAGTTGGATGGCCCGCAAGGTCACCAGATTTAAATTGCCATGATTTTTTCTTGTGGAGGTATATCAAGGATTTAGTTTACGAAGAGCCTTCACAAACTGCTGCTGAGTTAACAGCAAAAATCAGACGTGCCTTCGCCAATCACCCCCGAAATGTTGGAAAATGTACAGCAGTCGTTTAGACAATGCATATAATTATGTATAAGAAGAGATGACCGAAATGTCGAGCTTAGTTTTATAATAATTTATTCTTTGTTTGCTTGATATTGCTAGATTTTCGTTAATTTATAATTATAATTCATCTTTCTTACATACGTACGTAGTTTATTTAATATTAAATGAATAAAATATAAATTTTTGTTTTTTATCATGGTTATAAAAAAACATAATTTTTATGAAATTCTCTCAATATTAGAATGAATCGCGTATATCTCAAAAAGTTTCTATTAGAACCAAAGCAAGGTTTATATCAGAATTTACAGCATTCAATTCTGCATTAACTGTGTTAAAAAATACAGGGTGTTCCATTTAAATTTAAGAAGTTTTCGCCTTTTGAAATTATCAGAATGTAGCGGTCTAAATTAAATACTCACTATATTAATATTGAACTAGTTTTAGTTGCAAAAGGTAGATGCATTTACGTTCTTTCCGTGCCCCAAAAATTAAATGCCTACTTGCCAAATGAAAGAAGTTACAAAGGTGTCAACCAACCTCTGCAGCTGTCATTTTTTATAAGAAATGTAGAATATCTCCTAAACCGCTAGAGTTAGGTATAGGGTATTGTAAAAAAATACAGGGTGTTCCATTTAAAATAAGAAAGATGGGCCGTGTACAGCGAAAACGCAACTCCCTGTATATTCGTCAATATTTTTAAAATATGCAAAAATATGGCGGAAAAACCTTACACTGTCCCATTTTGTTGAAAATTGTAAGGAATGGGCGCTAGAAATACGCACTAAAAACTCACCCTGTATAGAGAATCATTAGAAATTTACAAAAATCCGAACAATTTCAACAGGGACGGTGGCGTGGATCTGCCAGATATATGGAAGAGAGTCATCCGTGAAAGAAATCCACTGGAACGTCAATAACGCGTACGAGGTCACCCACCGGAACATCATGAATCAGTGCCCACATCAAATATAAATAGTGATAAGAGTAGTAGAACTCCAATTTCAGAGTAACTTCTGAAGAAGAGAGCGATATGTCTGTCGAAACGTCAAGAGTTGTAAATTAACGACATGGCAACCAGCCCGGAAATCATTCAACCACGTAATAAAAGAGTTCGGTAAGAAAATGTTGGAAAGTCGTTTCTTCATTGCTGTACTTTTTTTGTTGATAGAAATTTTGAGAAAATTTTTTTACGTTATATTATTTGCTATTATGCTCATTGCTACATTTCGTTAAAAAGCATTGTTGCATAGAAAAATAGATTTAAAATTTTCTCCTGTAGATATCAATTAATGGAGAGCAAATCTAATTATAGTATAACCTGAAGTACCCATATAAAATGAATCAAATTACTGTAAAATTGTAAACTACCTTTATCGGATCACGTAAAATTGAACGTGTTATATTTTTTATTTATAAAATAATGTTTATGATTCTATATCTATATACATAGATATAAAATCATATTTTTCCAGTAATAATAAAATTTAATTACAATACATATGATAGAAAACAAATGATTGCAACCGGTGATTATCTTATTAGCAACTAATAACACAGGCACACAAAAAAAGAAAAGTGGTTTGTTCCAAAGACTAGGCCTATGTACCCTTATGTATTTTGAAGCCCTGAGTCCGACTTCAAAATTGCTCCAACACCCTTAATTTTTTTTAAATCGCAAAAAACTGCCCTTAAATACACAAAATATAGAAATTCTCGCTTAGGGAGAGATCATCATTAGGTGTAATTGTAGATATCGACTGAAAATGACTGCAGAACCTTATAGGTGTTTCTTAAGTAGAGGTAAAAAATCCAGAGGCGTATTCTGTGGCCAAAAATAAGGGTTTTTTGTTATATACATGTGGGGTTTTATGACAGCCATTGTCGAGCTACAGCGTGTCAAAAATTAAACAAAAATCTGTTTTCTAAACCTTGAGATAATTTAACCAAATTCGGTATGCTTATGACAATGGGTTTGAAACAAAAAAATTATCAGCTCTAGAAACTTACCAGTGGCGGAGGTGTGGGTACCATCGATCATTATTTGTCAAAAAAAAATATATTCTTTATTTAAGGTACAGAAAAAATTAAATTAACAATTAGGCATTGTGGTTGGCGCCGTTCAGCTACGCTGCTCTTCCACGTAACTAACCATGAACAAATAAGAACAAATGTAGTGTCCATATAAATCATATAGGCGAGTACACGAATAGAACACTAGCATAAAGAACATACAAAAAGTGGAATAATCTAATAGAACGTAATATGACAAATACAAATTATAAATTAAGAAGTAATAGAACGAGATGAAAATAAGAGGCTTTTGATCTGTTTTTTGAATGTAAATGCGGAGGACGCAATTTGTATGTAAGTAGGCAAGGAGTTGTAAATTTTGACAGCATTGTATAGAAAAGAACGTTCATATTGCGCAGTACTATGTTTAGGGACTTCATACCAGCCACAATGTCGAGTTGAACGAGAATGAATATCGGTACCCTTTTTCAATTTATCAAATAAATATTTTGGAGTTTTAAATGTATTAATCCTGTAAACTAAAGTTGCTAAATGTGAGGTAAATCTTTGATCTAAGGTTAACCATTTTACTGAAGAAAAAGAACTAGATATATGATCATATTTTCGTAATCCGCAAGAGAATCGAACACAACAATTTTGAATTCTTTGAAGAGTAACTTTATCTCTTGATAACAAAGCTGGCCAATATACTACATCACAATCTGCTAAATGTGAGAGAATGAGGGAGTCACATAATTTAATTTTAATAGATTTATCTAACACGTCTTTACTTAGATAAAGCATTTTTAGGATACAATATGACTATTTTGTTAAATAAGTCAATGATTATCAAACCGCAGTCTATCATCAATTCGTAAGCCTAAACTCTTAACTTGTTTTACAAACATTAATAATTTATTACACAAAATAATATCAAAATGAGGGTCCTTTATAATACTTTCAGATTTATTTCCAACCATTATCATTTCGGTTTTATTTTCATTCAATAATAGATTATAGGCTCGTGCACCCATTGTTATTGAATTTAAATCTTCATTGATATATTCTGAAGCTAAAAGTTATTAGATAAGTGAAAAGAAAGATATAGTTGAGTATCATCAGCGTACTGACATTTTACAATGTTTCAAATAGGAGGCGATAGTCATATATTCTGAAGCTAAAAGTATATTAGATAAGTGAAAAGAAAAATATAGTTGAGTATCATCAGCATACTGATACATTTTACAATGTTTCAAATAGGAGGCGAAGTCAGCAGTATGTATAGAAAATAAAATCGGTCCAAGTATACTACCTTGAGGCACGCCCTTATTGAGTATTTTATAAGATGAAAATTTATTATTTAGAAAAACCCTCTGGCGTCTACCATAAAGATAATTTTGAAAAAATGAAATAGCTGGATTAAGTCCAAAATATTTAAGTTTTTGTAGAAGAATTTTATGATTTAATGTGTCAAATAGATAGATAGATATTTTTATTCTTTGAGATATAAAAAATGTATAAGAAACGTCATATCAAGTTGTAAAAAACAGAAATTACATTTTAACAAATATTTAAACAGACGTCATATATAAAAAAAAACAAAATATATAAAACATAATATAAAAAAAGAGTAAACAAACGTTACAAGTAATGCTTGATTAGGTATAAAAGTCTGCGGTACTATATAAGCACTTTTCAACAAGATACAATTTTAGATTAAATTTTAAAGCATTTACACTTTTAATATTTTTTATATTTTCTGAAAGATTATTGAACACTTTGGCACCAATCCGACTTGGAGCTTTAAAAGTAATATTTACTCTAGAATGAGGGATACGCAAATCATTTTTATTCTAGTGTTTATGTTATGGACGTCACAGTTAGCTAAAAACTTAGATTTATTATTAAACACAAACAAACATATCTCAAACACATAAAGGCCAAAAAGGGTTAAGAGTTTTAAATGCTTTGTTGAAGTCGAGCAAAATTAGACATGTTTCAAGTCATTATCATCATATACGTCTGACAAAAGTTTTCCAGATTTTAGGGTTATTTTGAACGGTATAAAATAATGGAGGGTGATAGAGTGATTGCGACTTCTAATTCGGCTTCAGCATATCACCATATATATAGAATGGTTCTGCAGTAACTTCCATTCTCTATTTACAATTGTTTCAAAAGCCATATCCCCCTAGTGTGGGATTTTTCGTGTTTAAGGGAGTTTTTTTGGCGATTTAAAAAAATACTTTGGCATAATGGGGCAATTCTGAATTCGAATTCGGATTCAGTGCATCAAAATATATGTAAATATGGTCCTGTTGTCATTTTCAGTGGATTCTATAATTATACCTAATGCTGATCCCTTTTTAGCGATTTGAAACAAAAATGGAGGGTAATGGGCAATTCTTTTCTACAGAAAAACTAAAATGAATTCTATTTTGGAAACTATGATCGGAAAGTACATGTTTAGCTCAATCACATTAATTTGGCAATAAAACTGTCAATGCAACACCTTGCATAAAGTCGAAAAAATGTGTGTATATATATA